TTCTGCTAATTGAGCATCCGCAACTTCACTTTTTTTGTGGACTCACATGTGTATGACGTCGATGGCAGGTACATGGGTGCTGCCTGATGCCACGTGCTGCATGAACGCTCTGCATTTTCACCCGTGATAACTCGTGAGTCCTTTTGCCAGTTTTTTTCATGTTTGTTTTTCACGTCCACATCAGCATGTGCTCTTTTTTTCGTTTTGCATTACCTCGATAAACCGTACTAGCTAGTTGAAGCTGGCTGCCCGCACATTTGTCAGTGTTAGCGCCTTGTGACTGAACTTGCAACGGAGCCCCCTAAGAGTGTTTTGGTCATAAGAACCTACGAAAAAATGAGAGTGTACGACATAAGTAGAATGTCATCTTCATCGTTGCGAAGATGGCAACTGTTCTCTTCTTTTGTTATCACGCATCATACCTACGCCTGCACACTGTTCTACTATTGGCAGCAACGGCCCTGCAGAGATAAGTTGACTGTACTCTGATGCATCCCAAGGGGGCGTTTCTGGCTTTTGAGAACCCCAAGCATCAGCGCCATCTTCGTGATTCATTCTTTTCGTGCCTCGCTTCTTTCCGATGTGCTCTGAATCACTGCATGAACAAGAAGGCATCAACAATCCACAAGAATTGCATTCTTCTGCTGCTTGCCCATAGAAGATGGGGATGACAAGTAACAGGTCAAAATAGGTGGCAGTTACTGACAACGAAAGGTGGCAACTGCCGTTACACACAAGTGGCAATTAATTTTTCTCCACCCCTTCATTCCAAAAATTGTCCTTCCTGTCCTTTTTAGGGATTCCTACTCATCCATTTTCAGACGCAACTACCTGCGTCAATTATACTAGGAACTTAAGTTAAGCTCAACACGTACATCACAAAACTACTGGATCTCAGAACTACTGGTTTTGCCACCCCCGTATAGCATGGATCCAGTACAAGATCGAGGAGATTTTTCAGCCTGAATGATGAGAAGGATGGAGATAGGGAGATTTTCACCTGATTTTAGCTGATCGTTTCTGAAGGGCTGGTTGGAGTGGGGGGCTGGGGGTGGGGAGGGTTGGGGTGTGGTTTGCGGTGGGTTTGCCCTACGGATCTGCTCTGGTTTCCATGGCAATCAGAGAAGGCCGGCGACGGAGGTAGGGGTCGAGAGATTGGGGACGATGGCGGCAGTCGAGAGAGGCGAACGAGCGGAGGACGGGAACGGCTGGGTCGTGCGGGCAGCGGGTCATGTGGCCCGGACGGGGCAGTGCGGGCGGGGTTGCCACGCACCGGACATGCCGGCCGTGGTTTTGTGCGCGCGGACGTGGTCGTGCGGGCCGGTTTTCGTCCATGCCACACGAGACGTGCGGGCGGGTTCCCGTCCATGCCACACGTGTGGCAGTTATTCGGACCCTTATTTTAAGTTGGACGATTCTCGTCTCGCGCAAACCTTCTCATACGCACGCCACCCATCCTGTGGAGGCCCACCCACCGCCCCGTTTCCCTTTCCTTATCTACAACGGGAGGCACGTAGGCCATTTCTTTTCCTCTCCCCAAACAAAATTCCCTGCTTCTCTTTGACTTTCTTGCTCCTGCTGGATCCTGCCATGGATGCGTCTTCAAGCAAGCTGGCACACCCAAAATTTGCGCTCTCCAATCCCTTGCGCACAGCCAGGGGCGGGCCTAGTTCAATTCAAGGGTATCCAATGCAATGCTCATCATGCCGCCCAATGGTTTCGATGCAGCAGTCACCGGCGGTACAATCCAGAGGTGGAGCAACGACACAGCACACACCGGCGCTACCGGTGTGAAGTTGGGATGGCGGTTGCCGCGCTGCTGCTATGCAACGCTTTTTGCTGGTGCATCGAAGCTATGATGCAACGCTCGCCGGCGCTGCGGGTTGGGGAGTGATACCGCAAGGCACACCCGTGCTAGCAGTGCTGCGCTCGCCGGTGCTATCGACATGAAGCAAGAATGGTTGTTGCCGTAGTGATGCTCTGCCACGCTCACGCCGTGCTGAACTGTGATGGAGCGCCGCTGGAGTCACTGAAGTTGCGATTGGGATGGAATGGACTCCGCCAGAGCTGCAATGGAGAGGCGCCAGAGCTGCAATGAAACTTTTGTCGGAGCTGCAATGAAGCTTGGCACGGTAGCGAGCTCGGTGTTGCCATGGATCAGCCCTGGTGGATCCCGGTGCTGCGATGCAGTGGTCGCCGACGGCTCTGGGAGCTGTGTGCACTCGTTGGCATGGGCGTGACGGCGCGTGCGTCGGTGCTGCAGTCGTCGATTTTCTGTTGCGTCGTCGTCGTTGCGGAGGCGGGTGTCACAGCAACGCCGGGGGGGCTGGTGGATGCAAGACGAAAGGGAAGAAGGACGATAGAGGGGCTCGGTTGCTCTGACCGGATGGGCCACATGCGCCTAATCGAACGGCCAGCCAGGCGGATGATTGTAGGAAATCATCCGGCTGATCCGTAGCGGCCGCCGAAAACTAAAAGGGCAGCACTGGCCGCCGGCGCCCCGGCCCGAAGTTTCAGCCGGTCAAGCCCGAGTCGTTCGATTCACGCAATATTTGACCATCCAGATTGCATCTTCTCCCTCGCACGCATGTCAAAGCCTCCTCCTTCCTCGAATCCTCCCACCATGGCGCCTCCTTCTCTTCCCCAGTCCTTGTGAAAAAACCTCCCGCCTCCGTTGTCGCTTGGCTCCGCGCCTCCGCCACGCCATGCGTAGCTCCCGCGAGTAGCAGTGCCAGCCGCTCGGAGTGCAGCGCCTCGCCGGACACCAAGGTCGCCGCTCACCATGGCCGCAACAGCCCCCACCGGACCCCAAGGTCACCGCTCACCATGGCCGCGGCAGCCCCCCGAGGTTGCAATGCAGCAGTCCTCGTCATTGTTGGCACAACACCGTGCCACCGCGCTACACACTAGGCCGCTCCGCCCTGCTTGGGGCAACAGTGGTAGTCGTGATAAAAGGTTGTAGCAAAATTCATTCGACTGTCGTAGCAAAAAACCGACGGTTGCTACAAAAATGCCATCGCCGCTGTCGAGGGTCGCACTCGAGACATGAAATGATTGAAGCTTTTTTCATTATCGGTTGCAGCTTTTTTCACCGTCGGTTGCAGCTTTTCGTCGTCGTCCATGGTTTCCATCATCTAGGGTTGAAACTTTTTTCTTCACCGGTTGAAACTTTTCTCGTTGCGGGTTGCAGCTTTCGCCGTTCATGGTTGTAGCATTTGTCACCGATTGCAGCTTTTTTGTCTTTCATGGTTGCCGCCAACCACACTTCACCGTCGCCCCCCGGTTGCAGCATATCCGAGCGCTCGTGGAAGCTTTCCTGTTGCCGTTTGCAGCGAAAACATGGCACCATCGTTGCCAGCGCACTTCACCGTCGCTTGGTTGCAGCAAATCAGGGCGACGGTGGTAGCTTTCTTGTTGTAGGTTGCAACAAAATAACAACACCGCCGCCGCTGCCACACTTCGTCGTCGCCCCATTCTACCATAATCCGGTGGTCGCTTGTAGCACGGCTCGGCCCCGGTTATAGCACGGCCGATGTGCGGATGTAGCATGGCCAAGCAGCGGAGGAGCGCCATGACCGCGACCAAAGGAAGGAGGCCGCACAACTGGGGGAAGGGAGCGAGCTATGTCGCGCCAGCGACGATGGGAGAAAGGGAAAGATGTGTTTTCTTTGGAAAGAATGGGTGGAGGAGAACGCCCCGTGAATAGATAAGGCAACAATTAGGACGGGATGGGTCCAAGCGTGTAGCGCTACGCGAGTGAGCGACCGGCCCGATTGTTTGGCCGGCGCGCCGGTTTGAAAGGTTTTCCAAACTAAAAGCCCGGGCCCTTCCTTCGGGAAGTCTTACTCCTCAAGGGTTTCGACGACCGGTGGGTGACCAGAGTTATGCAACTCGTCTCCTGCGGTCGGACCGCGGTTAACATTAACGGTGAGGTCGGGTCATTCTTCCCCATTCTTTGTGGGGTTCGCCAAGGCGACCCGTTCTCCCCGTTTCTGTTTAACATGGTGGTCGATGCCCTTGCAGTCATCTTGGATAAGGTCAAATCTGCTGGCCATATCCACGGCATTGTCCCTCACCTAGTAGGAGGGGGAGGGGTCTCCCTCCTACAATATGCTGACGACACCATAATTATGGTGGAGGGCTCCGCGACCGACCTAGCCAACCTGAAGTTCCTCCTCCTATGCTTCCAACAGATGTTCGGGCTCACTATCAACTCCGATAAGAGGGAAGTGATGATCCTAGGCTATCCTCCGGACGAGGCCTAGGCCATTGTTGATCGGCTGAACTGTCGCTTGGGTACTTTCCCCACGACTTACTTGGGGATACCCATTAGTGACTCGCGACTCACCGTGGCTGACCTCCGCCCGACAGTGACCCGGATGCAGCACCGGGTCGAGCCCTGGAAGGGAAGGTGGCTCTCGAAGGCGGCCCGGCTCTGGTGGCCGCTTAGCCGCCCCCAGGACCGGGACGCCATCAACACCCTCCTCGCCGACCTTCACTCGATGGCCTTCCGCGTGGCACCAACACTGCCGCCCCCTCCTCCGGAGCCCGATTAAGCCTGTTGTGCGGGCTGCTTTGTGTGTGTGTGTGTGTGTGTGTGTGTGTTGTTCTGTTTTCAGGGCTTGTTGAGTTGTGCCCTCAGCATTAAACCCTTTACTCTGGTTGAGTGTGAGACTTATGTGTGTGTGTTTGTGTGAACCTGTTGGATGTTTGGCTCGGGCGGTTTGCTTTATAATATAGAACGGGGCGAAAGACTTTTCGGGTAAAGCCGGGGCCTAGTACAACAGTTGGGTACAACCTAGCTGTTGCGTATTAGTAGAGGAATGCTATTCCTACGGACAACGGACAGATTCCTACAGAAAATAAACTAAATGCTATCATTAGGCTAGAAACTACTCCTGTATCAATCGCTAAACGTGTCTTACTCTTACACGACACGGCCTGCAGAAGCAGGATGATTTAAGCACTTATGTAAGCTTGAGAGATAATGAGAAATCACAATGAGTTCGTCGGAAACAGCGGGATCGATGGAGGCACCCGCTGAGGACCGTATCAGCCTTCTCCCGGACTGCTTGCTGGGCACCATCGTCTCCCTTCTCCCAATCAAGGAAGCAGCCCGCACCACGCAACTCTGCCGCCGCTGGCAATCCATCTGGCCGTCCCTGCCTCTCGACCTCGACCTCAACGCGGACAAGTCAGGTATCCCCTGCACCGGCCGGTCCATCTCACGCATCCTTTCCTCCCACCGTCCCGGGGCGCATATCCGGAGCTTCAGCGCACGCACCCGTGTTGACGAGACAACCGCTGGCTGGCTACAAGCACTAGCGCACAAGCGCATTGACGGTAGCCTCCTCTTGGGCTTCGCCTTCGACGGCGCGCGCCAGCTGCTTCCCCTTGACCTACTGGCCACATGGAGTCTCCGGTGTCTGTTTCTCCATAGGTGCCGCCTCGTCGACCCTCGTCCTCGAGCGCCTTTGACCCTGAATCACCTGGATAGCTTGACACTAGACGACGTGAAGATCTCGGAGACATCGTTGCACCGGATCATTGCTGGCTGCCCGGTCCTGCGGCGGCTATGCCTCTCCAGAGTCCGTAGCCTCCGCCACCTTGTGCCCTGCTCGCGCACGCTAGTTGACGTGCACCTGGCACTGCATGTCCCACTTGACAAGATCTCCTTTAGGGACACGCCCAATATTGATAATATCGTGCTCTTGTGCGTCGATGTGTGGCGGCTGTATCCCAATATCATGGCCGAAGCTGGCCTGCCCTCTAAGCTCCCAACGGTTCACCTCACACTTCCAATGCTGGACTCGCCAAGCTTTGCCGTCATGCCTAGGAGTTCAATACCCATCGTAACCACCCTCATTCTCCACATGAAGTTCAGTGATTGCGACGAACTGAGCAAGGCTGCCGGCATGTTAAGCTTATTTCCATCTCTGCAGGACCTTCGGATTTGGTGCCTCAGCTCCGGCTCCAAGGATAAGCTGGATGCGTGTGGACCGTGGCCACCGGCAGTAGCCACGACAATTATCTGCCTACATAACCATCTCAAACATGTGCGATTACTAGGGTATTGTGGCACCAGAGGGGAGAAGCAATTTGCAAGGTTTCTTATGGCTGGAGCAAAAGCTCTGACGGGCATCCAAATTATCCATGCCACTAACTGGAGCCATCAGAGTATCAACAATCAGAGAGACTTTATATGTTCACGCGGTAAAGGCTCGTCCAAAGCTCAAGTCATCTTTCGGAGGAGCAAAACCATAGACAAGAACAGAAGAAAAGCTGACAGTTTTATACGCCAAGTTCCTTTTGTTTGATTGCATGTTAATTAATCAGAATTGTTATTGTTCAGTTGACTGGTTTTAATTTTTGAATTTTGCTTGATAATGTTTTCCAATTTTTTTGCTAGCTCCCGAGAGTAGAAAATCCAGTCTCTCATTTTGTTGCAAATGGCATGCAAGCTAACTCAAACATTGAACACGCAGTACTCTGACTCTATAATCACCAGCTATATTGATTACTATCAGACCAAATCTGGTACTACTCTGACTCCAGTCACCGCTTCACCGGCTACCTTGATCACTATCACATTAAAACATGTTGCGTGCCTATGTTTAAATTCATATTCTGGCAAGTTTGCTACTTGCAATGATTATAAATTATGAAAGAAAATAAACCCGGCTTGCTAGTCAATGGAGAGAGGCGGTTTTAATATATTTCAACCCCCCTTAGTGTTGACGTATAATATGTTGCCTAGTCTCTTTCATCAGATCGGTGTTTTGGTTGCATTGGCTGGATCATGCACTTCTACATGGTATCGGAGCCAAGAGGTCTTGAGTTCAAAACCCGGCTGGCGCAATTAAATTGCAGCCCACTTTCGGTCCACGTTTAGGCCTGGGGGAGTCACATGTGAGGGGAGTGTTGACGTATAATGTGTTGCCTAGTCTCTTCCATCAGATCGGTCTTTTGGTTGCATTGGCTAGAGCATGCACTTCTACACTTAGACGTGGCATTTATGTAGGCCGCATAATCCTTTTTTTAATATACTTGGTTGGCAGGGTCTTGAACTCAAGACCTCCTGGCTCAGGTACCATATTGAATTCATGCTCCAGTCAACTCATTCAAAAGTCCGAACTGATAAAGAGAGGCGGGCAATATATTTCAACAAATATTTAACAAAGAGTGTGATGGTCGCCACATTACACTATTACAAAGGTGTCCGATGGACACCACTCGAGACCCATCTTTGTCGAGTGTCAGCGCTTTTGTCATGTTCTATTACGGGTGCACTCGACAAAGAATATCCTTGTCAATTATAACACTCGGTAACAGAGGCCCTTTACCGAGAGCGTGTGAAACAACACTTGGCCTACAAAGCTGCTTTTGCCGAGTACCTTTCTGAGTATAACGACCTAACTTTTCAGGTTATGCTCTTCAGGTGTTTCTATGCCATCTCGCAAAAAAAAAGGTGTTTCTATGCCAACCCACGAATCAAATCACCAGAACACACGGTATGGATGTAATATCATGGCTTATCCAGAAATAAATAAGTCTTACAACTTCCACCCATAGGGTAGCCAAATAGATAGTCTTATAAACAAGCGGAGATCATAATAGCGGAAACAAAATCAAATCCTAAGATAGTAATTCTTGATAAGGCTCCATCAACACCACGGGGAAGTATGTCGAGTGGGGGCTGGAAACCCTACATGATCAATCCTCATAATAGAAACCCACAACATGATACATTATAGCCAGTTGGGTCAATACATTGAATGTATTGGCAAGTTCCATAGTTGTATAACAATCCTATCTATATGCATCTTTGGGTCAAGTGGAGTTGAAAGACTCTTTGCAGAAAACTGTAGGCTTTATTCAAACTTTGTATATAAGTGGTTTACTCTATATGTAGGACACACCGGTAAATCCCCAACAATACGTAGAAACACTGAGCCATTTTTGGACTTTGGTACACCCCGGTTGTATTCTTGGACACAGAGGTAAACCCCTGGTAGTCTTATTCCCATGTTTAACCTATCAAGTTTTAAGTTAAGAAGAGGTGATGAGATCAAGCCGACAGTCCTTGGCCAAGTTTCTCAAAGTTGTTTGTAACCAAGGACGCGGCTAATCATGATCAGTTTTCTTAACTCTCTAGAGAGATTTGTGTACTTTACCCGCAAGATCTAGTCACACCCTACTACTACTAAACTTTACTTGTGAACTAGCCTGGTTGACCAAGACAAGATTTTTAGCCCATACCACATGGCAGACCCATGTAACTAAGCCACACTTACATCAGCTAGTCTGTCGGGTCAGGTTCTTACAACTTACTTGGTCAAGACAAAGCCCATAGTAACTCATGTTTACTCATGGTAGCTACTTAACTTGGAACTCATACAATCTCTTTGAGCTTGGGCAGTCACCCACAAGTGAACGCCCAATGGGTAAACCATAGACATGGGTCCGCAGGAGCCACTCAACAGTCAACCACCAAAGCAATACTGAGTACCACACATATGATTCATTAATTAAGTTGTTAATAAGTAGTCAACCATATAGTTTGTAGTTGCCAAAAAAAATTGTTTGTAACCCATCAACTAATGATGATTCCAACACCATTATGATATAGCAACTAAGCATCCCTACACAATGGTTACAAGGAACAGGGTAACAGATCCTATGTTTTTGCTACTCGGTGTCATGCAATAGCATAGCGTAAGAATAAACTCACACTCCTATCATGGCATACTATAGTGCATAGTAAAATACTGAGATTCATGATCAAAGTGAAACTTGCCTTGGTTGTCCCCGGTGCACTCTCCGCACAGTCACAAGGACTGTACTCCTCGCAATCTAAACATTGCACACAAAAATATACACAACATACATAAGACCATATTCACCCAAAAGTAATACTTGCATGAATTGCCAATAAGAAGCAAACACACACATACAAGGTGTATTTGGTTTTAGTTAGAGTTTGGATGAAACGAATTTCAAATGTGACTTGACTTAGTTGATTTGAGTTTGAAATTCAGTTTCAAGTTTGAATATGGGTGTGCCGTTGAATTGCAACCCCGGTAAGGTGAGGATACGCATGTCCAACGCGCACGCATCCGGCGTGCGCAGGAACGGCGAGTTCTGCCTCGCCCTACGCCTCACCTCCGTCTCCCTCGCTAGCGCTGTCACCGTGTATCTGTACTGGCGGCGCGGCTGAGGCGCCGGACCGTTCACCATCGAGCAGCTCGGTGCTCTCCGGCGCCAGGCCACGAGCATCCTGGCAGCGCGGCTGAGCCAGGCTGAGCTGCCGCGCCGCTGGGCCGGGAGCTCGTGGAGCAGATTCTGGACGCGGGCAGTGGACTGGCACAAGCAGAGCATGCGGCGGAGCAAGGCCAACTTCTTGCGCGCCACAGCGCTGCCCTCCGGCGTCGTCAGCATGGCGCAGTGGTGTATCAACGTGTCCCACGGGAGGACCTGGCGACAACCGTGTTCGTGTCGTGCACCTGCTACTCGTCACCCTCATCTGCTTCCCGGAGTTCATCCTACCGACATTGTTCCTGTGCATGTCCATGGTCGTCGTCTAGCCGGAGTGTGGCCGGGCAATGATCTTCCTGGCAACGCAGGGCGAGGCAGTCCGGCCTCGGCGCCGCCATGGTGCTGTACGACACGCCGTTCCATATCAAGGCTGTACGTGGTCCATCGCCCATCGGCCGCCGGCAACTTCTTCAAGAGGCTGCCTTCCGGAGCAGCTTGATCATGTTTGCATCACATATGATGTTTGCTTAATTCTTCAGTTCGTTACCGTGGTCTGCCACTGCCAGCACAAGTGACAGCTACATGCATTCTGGCCACTGACCAGCCACTCACCGGCACGATCAATATATAGCAATCCATGGCTAAATATCCACGATGAAACTGCCTCTGAAGTCTGAAGTCTGAACAGCCAGAAAGAATAGACGAACCTTAGTTGAGACAGAAGAGTGTTCTGAGTACCCAAAAGCCTTGATACGTTGTTAATTATAAAGTAATTAAACCCCGACAAAATAGCTTTTACGTGGCTTCGAGATTTATGCCCCTTCTACATTCTTCTGTATGTACATCTCACCAAATCATGCAAAGACTTCTTTTCTTTGTCAGATCTAAACCCATTTCACAAAACCTGCATTCATCCCACTGTCTTAAATACAGGAGGCCAGACATGCATGCAAGCTTAACAAGCCTTGCAGATCAGATGATCAACGAACAAAAAGGCAAATCATATCAGCAAACATTTGCAACACGTTCATGTGTTCCACTTTAATCCTTAGCACTGGTGCCTGAATCCCATAGCTACAGATTACTTCTGTAGGCTGTTGGAAATCTAATAAACCTTCTTACTAGCAGACACAACCACTCTAACTGCACAGCAAATATAGTTCAAACAACACCAATGTATTCCACTTTATGCCCAGCAAAAAAAAAGTATTCCACTTTTGTAGTGCATTATTACTGGTCAAAGTTGGCCTTGTACTCATGCGGATATTTTGAATTATAGAAGGAATGGGACTGTGAATAATATACGTTAAAATTTGAACAAGAAGGTATACAAAAATGCTAGCAACTTCAGGCAAATCATCTGAAGAAAGTGAAACCTTATTAGAGGAATTGTGGCAACAGCTGCTAACTGCACATCATATGGCAGATCATGGGAAATGGTCAAGCCTTGCAGATGGAATAAAATGCAAATTCATATCAGCACATTTGTACCAAGCATTGCAGCAAATTCATGTGTTCTACTTTGATCACTACCACCATTGCCATAATACAAGGATTACAATGTACTTCTACAGCCTGTAGGAAATCTGACAAACCTTGCTACTAGTAGACAACACTCAAAACTGTCTTCAGTGCATCGTCATCGCAGAGTGAACGAAACAACATAGTGAAAATGAAGAAAATGAAATATTACACGGAGGAAAGAACTAGCTGCACATAGTACATTGCAGGCCTCAAAATGAGCTAGTACTACATATCAAGCAAACTGCTCATAAACTCTTTCCCTGCCCTAACGCAGAACATAGCTGAACTTCTCTCTGTTGGAATAGTTAAGAGTTATTGCTTCTTGCTCTCTATTTCAATTAGGCAATCATATCATATGCAGCAAGATTGAACACAGTTGTGCAAGTAACGAACAAGTTTGTTTATGAGAAGAGCAACTCTTTAATCCTATGAATAATATGCAAAGCTACGACACTGTCTTCCAAATTCAAGAATCAAGATTGACGCAGAATGAACAAAAATAACATAGCATGCTATCGAAGTAGACGGCATGAAGAGA